AGCCATGCCTTTGTCACATACCAAGGAGATCACCATGGAGCGAAGCCTACCTCTGCCCCATGCCATTCTGAAGAGGTCTCCCCTGTCCCCTGTTGTTCTCTCCACTGGAAAACTGGCAGAATCTACTTAGTGATTTTATAACTCTACATTTTTTTATCCCCATGCCTATATTCTCCTCCTTAAATCCCTTCAACTGCCTAAGGGAAGGGTGTTACTGTCCCTATCATGCAGAGGAAAAAATGAAGACTGAGAGAGGCAAGTGGCCCAGGAAGGAAGAGGTGGAATGGATGCTGAGATTTGGATACTCCAGAGTCTGTGCTACATGCCCTGCCTTTGGCTTCTCAGGTGACACAACCTCAGAACTAAAAGCAGTCATTAAAAAGCAAGCATTAACAGCAGGCAAAGCAGTCACTTTCCGAACAATTAGTCTGGATCTATGAAGATACTATAGGCTCCCAGAGACAAGACAAGCTCCCACCTGGAAGGGGAACTCTAACAGACCCTTCAAGGGAATGCTGCTGCCAAGCTGGGAGATGGGGCTGCAGACCTGGGAAGGAATCACCCAGTCCTTCTCTGGGGGATAGAACTGGAGCCCTGACAGGTGAGCCACGTCATCAAGAACTGGGCCTCCTGCTTCCCCAGCCACGTGCCAGGCCTGCACTCTCACCTGCATCCCACCTGGGTCAAAGTGTGTGTGTGTGTGTGTTGTGGCAATAACTATTTACAGCGCACTGAGGTCAGGTCTGGCACCATGCACCAGGCATGCATGCCAGGTCAGGCTAAGTGCAGACGGGAGGGATTGGGCAAAGCTGCTTAGCTAGGGCGCCTCCCCTGCCCTGTGCCAGGAGGCCAGGTCCAGTATCTCCCTTTGGAGCTCAGAATCAGACCTCTGAAAAGGGATTTGCCTCACTCCTCTGCTCCTCCTAAAGGGGGGCAGAGGTTATAGCCAGGGTTGGCCACTCTTGGTAGCTGATTATCTATAATGAATGCCCACGTGTTCATCTGCCTCCCTTGGGAAGAGAGTAGATAGGCATGTACCCTGTTCTTTAAGCTTACAGCCTAGCAGGGAAGACAAGTAAGGGAAGATGAAGGGCCAGATTCCAGGGCATGTGACCTGTGCAAGTCACATAACACCCCACTATTAGAGGACACTTGCCTTTAGGCTCTGCTTTAAAATTTCTAACCATTTTGAAAAAAAAAAAATCTCATGTTTTCATTTTAATACTGAGCCTAGGAAACTATGTAACTAGTCCAAGAAACATGAACGCAAAAAAGCAGCACAATAAATGTCAAGCCTTGCATAGAGCAAGGCTCTAAGCCCAGTCTTCTCAGAAGAAGGGTGATGCCACCTGAGTCTGGAAGGATGGGTGGGCAATGTGGACGGAAGGACATATTCCAAGTAAGAGAGAAGCAGGCACAAACAGCCTGATCAGAGCTTGTCGTGTTTTGTAGAGCTGCTGGAACACAGGGAACTAGGACCAAACAATAAATAGCCTAGAGCATTCTAAGGAAAAACAAGAATAAGGCACACATCCTATTGGACATCGAGACATTTCATAACCCTCCTGTAATGAGAGTGTGGCTCGGGGATCAACAGACCAGGGGAAAAGAACCTACATGAACAGACACAATTATGACAGAGAAGGCATGACCAGTTGGTGGGGAAAGGATACATCATTCAATAATCGTTGTTGGAATATCTGGTTATCCAGAGTGGGGAAATGAGACCCTGGTCTCCCACCACATACAAAAATACTTGCCAGGTAGCTTAAAGACCTAGATGTGAAAAGCAAGGCTTTAAAACTTTCAAAATGCAGCAGAGGAAGGGGTGCACGCCTGCAATCCCAGAGCCTCTAGAGGCTTGAGGCAGAAGGATGGTAAGCTCAACGCCAGGCTCAGCAACCTAATGAGACCCTGTCTCAAAATAAAAAAATAAGGACCAAGGAAATAGCTCAATGGCAAAAGTACCCCTGGGTTCAATCACCAAAAAGAAAAAAAGAAACTTTCAAAATACAAAATCTTGATAACTGGGGGGCAGAAAAAGAACTTCTTTAATGACATAAAAAGAATCTTTTCCACCACATGCAGTGCCATATGCCTATAATTCCAGTGACTTAGGTAGCTGAGGCAGGAGGATCAGAGCCTCAGCAACTTAGAGAGGTCCAAGCAACTCAGGAAGACCCTGTCTATAAATAAAATACTAAAAATGGCTGGGGATGTAGTAAAGCACCTCTAGGGTCAGTCCCTAGTACCAAAAATAAAATAAAATAACAATCTTTTTCTAAATGGAAAAATTGATAAATTAGACCACTGTTTTAGTCAGCTTATTCACTGCTGTGATCAAAAGACCTGCCAAGAACAATTTGACAGGAGAAAAAGGTTATTTGGCATTCAATTTCAGAGGTCTCAGCCTACAGATGGCCGGTTCCATGGACCCAAAGTGAGGTAGAACATCATGGCCAAAGGATGTGGAGGAGGAAAGCAGCTCTGGAAAGAACAATCAGGAAGTAGAGAAAGCTGTTCTTCAACAGGGCAAAATATGTACCCCAAAGGCACACCCCCAGTGACCCACTTCCTCCAGCCACACCATACTGCCCCCAGTTACCACCCAGTGAATCCCTATCAATGGACTGATGCACTGATTACATCTCTCATAACCCAGTCATTTCACCTCGTAATGTTCTAGTATTGTCTCACCCATGAGCTTTTGAGGGACACCGCATATTTAAACCATAACAACCACATCATGATTTTCAAATTTTACAATACAAAATATTATGTGCACACTAGGAAGGACACCTGACTCATTCACGATCCCCCAAACTCTTTCCAGCAGAGCGACAGCCCTGAGTGGAGAGGTCCCCAGGATGGCAGGCTGGGCCCTTGACTTTTCAAACCCAGATGACCATGTGACAGGGATGCCCATGATTTACAGCCATGGCTCTCCTTTCCAATGTCAAGGAAGTCAAAGTATCAATCAAAAAATTGTTAGTAAAATAGAATCAAAACAAATTGTCAAGTATAGCTAGTTTTTCCTCCCTCAAAGCTTTTGAGTCTGTGAGGGTTCCTTCTCTGCTCCACAGTGGACTCCTTCCCACCTTCAAAGTGCTGCCCAAAGCTCGGTCCTTGTCCCCAGTGCCAACCTAATAACGAGGACAGGGTTTTGAGAAAAAGGAAAAAGAAGGTTTATTGCTTTGCTAGCAAAGGAGAAACAAAGGGGACTACTGTCCCAAAGGCTGTGATCCTGCCCATCAGCAGGAACAGGGGGGGGTTTAAAGAGGTGATACAGAGAAAATGAGATTAGAAAGGATAAATCAGGAAGAATAAGATCAGGGAAGAGAAGGTCAGGGAGAAGAAGGCTGGGAAAAAGAAAACATGTAATTTTCAAAGCCACAAGGGATATAGTCAAAGCATCAAGTGAACCCCTGGTACAAAAGTGCTAGTTCAGAGGTCTCCTCCTCACAGGACTTTCTCTGATCACGACTTCTGAAGAAGAAACCTGGCCCTGTCACTCTGTCATATCACCCCATTTTCCCTTTGGGGCACTTCTCACAATCTGTCACTATGTTTTTGTTTATTTTCTCTCTCCCCCACTAACCTTCACCTCCAGGAGGGCAGTGACCCTGACAGGGGCAAAAACTGACTGTCCACAAGGCCAGCACACATTTGGGGAGGGGAAGGCAGGGTTGCCTTTCACTTTTTCCAAATTTCAACTTATTGTCAATATTTAAAAATTAAAGAGAGACTATACGGGTGTGGTGGTGCACACCTGTAATCCCAGTAGCTCAGGAGGCTGAGGCAGGAGGATTCAAGTTGAATGCCAGCCTCAGCAACCTAAGAAGAAGGACTTAAGCAACTTAGCAAGACTCTGTCTCTAAATAAAATATAAAAAGGGCTGGGGATGTCGCTCAGTGGTTAAGCACCCCTGGTTCAACCCCAATACCATTAAAAATAATAATTTTTTTAAAAAAATTTTTTAAAGAAATAAGTTCTTGGATTTCCAGATACTGCACTCCAGTTCTCACCCAGCCCCCATCTGCACCCCTTTACATAACCTTGGCTTTGTCTTATCTGACCTGCCTCACTCCTGGAGTTAGACTCTGGGTCTAAAATCCCTGATCTTTTGACACCAGTCACTCAACAACTGAGAGTGTTTCAATAAATAGAGCAAGAAAGGTTAATTATTTTGAAGGAAACATTCCATCTAAATTTTGGATAGACTGTACTCCAGACAGCTTGTATGACACAAGGGACACCCTCTGGTGCCTGACCTCTGGTGGGTGGGGAAGGGGGGGGTGCTAGTGAAGAACCAGTTACGACCCCCTGAACTCACACTAGTGAGCTGGGCATACTGCTTAGGTAGATTAATCTAATCTGAATGAGAATTCTGGATGGCGTTAATCCATTTTTAGAATAGATTAATCAAATGATAATCTAAAGTTTCGATTATTTAGTCAACATAACATCTAAAGTATGTTATGTTGACTAAATAATCCAAGTGCTACCCTAATCTCTTTTTCGGTCATCTTTTTATGACCGAACGGGTAGACCGCTAAGTATATAGGTGAGTAACACATACCGTTGCATTTGGGAAGCTCAGTATCAAAACCCCTCTAAGGAGAGCCAATTCCACCCCACGAAAACCCATCAGAGCAGGAAGGGCCGCAACCGGGTCAGGAAGGCGGAACATGCCAATGACATAGTGCGCAGGCGCGCTCGAATCCTCAGCCAGTTTCTCCGCAGCACAGACAGACTTCCACCCGCACGGCGCAGGCGCCAAGGCAAACCAAGCTCGCTCTCTCCCTCCCACTTCTCCCGGAGTCTTCGGGACGCCCTCCCGCAGCAAAGTTCCTGCGCAGGCGCCGCACCGCGTCCCCGCCCCCGGACCAATTGGAAGCAATGGCTCCTGGACGCTTGGGAGCACGACGCCGTGGGTGGGGCCGGGACGTGAGGGCAGCGCGCTGGCGTCACAGGGGCGGCTATATAAGTGAATACAGGCACCGCCCCTCCGCCCCAGTCACTGAGCCGCCGCCGAGGACTCAGCAGCCTCCCCCTCGAGCCCCCTCGCTTCCCGACGCTCCGTCCCCCCCGCCCGCCTTCTCCCGCAGCCGCCTTCCGCAGGCCGTTTCCACCGAGGAAAAGGAATCGTATCGTATGTCCGCTATCCAGAACCTCCACTCTTTCGGTAAGCCAGCGGGCCCTGCTGGGGTAGCGGGGCGTTCCGGGCCCCGGAATCTGCTAAACGCTCTGGGCCTTCGTAACTCTGACGGGAGTAAGGTGTCCAGGCTCTCGAAGTAACAGGGCCGATGGTTTGGACTCTGGGATCGGTCCCTGAATACGACCGGAAGGAGCGGGCAGGAGGTCAGCCCTTGGGCGGGCCCAGCTTCTCGGGTGGCGCATTTACTAATGGCTTCTGGTCCTCCTCGGGCCACACCCGCCCCCTCCCGCCACCCATGCGTCACGTCCGATACGTCATCGCCGTTGTCACGGAGCCGGGATGGAAAGGCGGTGCCAGCCCTAAGTGACAAACGTGCTCACCAATGGGGGTGGGAGGCTTGGCCCCGCCTCGGGAGCTCGGGTTCCGGCCGGTTGCATCAGCCGGGTGGGGCGCTGCCTGCCAGCCGGAGCTCCCCAGCACGTGATCTGCCGAGGCGGGGCGGGCCTAGGGCGAGAGGCCCAGGCTTTCTCTGGTTCCTGGGAGAGCCAGCCGTCCTGGACTGACCTGTTTGGGGAGGGCCAACAGAGGACGCATATCCAACCTGACCCAAGTTGCCCTAACAATTTCACTACTGGTTTCTCACGTGCAAAAGATAAGTGGGAACGTGGCAGCTGAACCATCACAGCACTGAATAAGTTTAATCTTTTCTTCCCAGACCCCTTTGCTGATGCAAGTAAGGGTGATGACCTGCTTCCTGCTGGCACTGAGGATTATATCCATATAAGAATTCAACAGAGAAACGGCAGGAAGACCCTTACTACTGTCCAAGGGATCGCTGATGATTACGATAAAAAGAAACTAGTGAAGGCGTTTAAGAAGGTGGGTCTAAAAAGATAGTCCATTGAAGTTGTCCACTGGGGCATACAAACTAGAAAGGCATTATTAAATGCGTTTGTGCAGTTGCTTGGCATAATTTGTTTTGCTCCTTTTGTGCTTGCAGAAATTTGCCTGCAATGGTACTGTAATTGAGCATCCAGAATATGGAGAAGTAATTCAGCTACAGGGTGACCAGCGCAAGAACATATGCCAGTTCCTGGTAGAGGTGAGTTCAGGCATGTCTTGATTCTATTTGTGCCTCTTTGTTGGCAAATATTAAATCCTTCATGGTGGGCTCAATTTTTGTTGCAGACAGAAGGCTAAGGAAAGAAAGAGTTGAGTTTTTAAGTGCATGGATAAAACCCCATATTCTAAAGACTGAAGGGACTTGTCTACTTTCCTAATGCTTTTTTAAGTTTCATATAAAGTCATGCTATACCATTTTTTGATCCCCACCCTCACACTCTAGTTTCTTGAGGCAAGGATGTTCAAGAAGGTAGTTAAACTAAACACCCCTAGTTGAACCGTTGTGCTTGGCAGAGATTGACATGTGCACACTGGCTGCTGGGTTCCTTTTGCCAGGTAAAGTAGCTGGAAGACCTATTACTGCCATCAGAAGTAAAGTTGTTATTTTGGGGTGTTTTTGTTTTTTTAGAATTTTAGCTCCCTTTCCTCTCTTAAAACTTTGCCCTTTTCTCTTTGCAGATTGGACTGGCTAAGGACGATCAGCTGAAGGTTCATGGGTTTTAAGTGCTTGTGGCTCACTGAAGCTTAAGTGAGGATTTCCTTGCAATGAGTAGAATTCCCCTTCTGTCCCTTGTCACAAGTTTAAAAACCTCACAGCTTGTATAATGTAACCATTTGGGGTCCGCTTTTAACTTGGACTAGTGTAACTCCTTCATGCAATAAACTGAAAAGAGCCATGCTGTCTAGTCTTGAAGTCCCTCATTTAAACAGAGGTCAAGCAGTAGGTGCCTGGCAGTGTCCACCCTGAAACAAAGCAATAACGTGATGTTTCAGCAAAGCCCAGAGCCCCAAGATCAGATGGCTGTGTCTTACCAGAAGCTTCTCAAGTCTCCCTCAGCTGAGGCCCCTGCCCTAAGAGTGTCATGACCTGATCAGGAGGAATGGGGTAAGGCAGCTGTACCACTAGAAGGGGGGCCTTTGGTAGTTTGGGGGAGGTTTTTGTTTCATTTTGTTTTTTCAAAAGAATCCCTGGTGTCTAACGTGACCAGGTGGGCAGAACACAGAGGCCATCTTCCTTCCAGTGAGGTGATGTGACATCTGGCTTGCCACCAAGGTCTTCTTTTTGACTAGACATATTCAAGCTAAGGGGTATCCAAAACAACAGAATGTGAGGCCAGCTTAATATCAGTTAAACTTTTGACAAGGGAACAAATTCCAAACTGATGTTATCAGTCCTGTAGCTAGCTGTAGAGCTTTGCAACTCACTAGCAACAGCTGCCCAGTGCCATGTGAAGTGATAAACTGGTTTTTGGTTTTCTTTTTCCCTTCCAGTTTTAATGTTATGTAATGTATTTAAACCCTTATTTAAATAAAACTTGTTTTCAGAAATAACTGACTTGCAGATTCTACTTTATCCATAGTCAATCTTGTGTATATGGATGAATCACAGAAATAGGCAGTGGAGGACATCACAGCCTAACAACTGAACTTGGCCTAGCAAGCCTTTTATGAACTTCTTCCTTCTGGGTCAGCTGTTTTGCAATCATTTAGCTGCAGTTATGCTGTCCCATTAATCAGAGTCCTGGAAGAATGCTGCATGGCTGACAGGGTTAGCCAGCCTGAGTGATGCACTGGTCATTGGGCTGTCCCTCTTTCAGAGCTATGGAGAGACTTGAATGGTTGAAAATTCTTGAAGTTCCTTAATGGTCTTCATTTAAGCCCTAACAAAAGGACAGTCATGATAAAACCTTAATCAAAGATCCACTAACTAGAAAAAGTGTGCAGCATTGTACTAAGCAATGGGTGTGTAGTATTGAGAAGCTGGAATTTAATGTTGGGAGTTCACTCCTGAGAGGAAATGTCAAGGTCTGTCCTTGGGTCCATAAATTTGTTGCTGGCTCATTTTGTAGGTAAAGGTCACTTGGGTGAGTAGGGATACAGGCCAGGTTGGGAAGATACTAGAACCAGGTAAAAAGTTGATGGAGTGACAACTGTCCTAATATGTAAATAAATCCCCAAAGTAAGGGCTTGACTAGAACAAATTTCTTCCTGCAAAACTGATAATATTTAATACAGGTAGAACTTACCACCTGACTCCAAGGCTCCAAACATAGTAACCCTTTACAAAGAATTTGAGACCTTTTTTAAAACCAGGTATGGTTGCACATCCATGTGATCCCAACACCCCAGGAAGTTGAGGCAGGAAGATCATGAGTTCAAAGCCAGCCTCAGCAACTTAACAAGACCTAGTCTCAAGATATAAAATGGGCTGGAGTGCAGCTCAGTGGTTAAGCACCCTGGGTTCAATCCCCAGTACCAAAAAAAATTTTGACACGTGGTAGGATTTTGATAGCAAAAGGGTTCTTACAGAAAACTTAGCAATCCTAGAGGTCAGACCTTAGAAGACTACCATCAAATATGATGTGAGACAAGAGAATTCCTCCCTCTGCTATAGGTTGATGGGAAATAGCAGCTAGATTCTTTATTTGGATGTGGCATTTTGTGCTTTTTGTGGAAGGAGCTGTATTTCTCTAGGATAAAATTTAAAGAGTTCAGCTAGCAACAGTTATCTATAAAAGTGTTACTGTGAGGAAGTTTGTGAACACCCAAATCCAATTGTGATTTGGATGAATTTCTAGACTAAAGTAAGAAAGCACAGTTCACTCCATTCAGTGGTTAAGAAAACTTCAGATGTGGTAAGTTCCCAAGGTTAGTAAGTGGAAGAGCCTCTAGATCTCAGGACTTCCTGTGTACTGTTCTTTGTACCACATGACCTGTATATTCACAACTCAGAACCACAAGACCACAGGATTGAGAACTTCCTCACTCCTGTCCTCAGAGAATGGGGCCAGGAGAACTTCATGAAGGAGGTGCCAT